TCTCCCTCACACCTCTCCCTCTCTCTTTCTCTCTTCCTCTCTCTCTCCCCCTCTGCCTATGTTTCTGTCTCTTGAGACGGAGTCTTGCTGTCGCCCAGGCTGGAGTGCAGTGGTGCAATCTCGGCTCACTGCAACCTCTGCCTCCCAGGCTCAAGCAATTCTCCTGCCTCAGTCTCCCGAGTAGCTGGGATTACAGGCATGCACCACCATGCCTGGCTAATTTTTGTATTTTCAGTAGAGTCAGGGTTTCGCCATGTTGGCTAGGCTGGGCTGGTTTCAAACTCTTGGCCTCTCTGTTTCTCTGGGTTCTTCTCTCTGTCCCTCTGTCTCTGTCTCACCACACCCCGCTTACCCCCCGGCATCGCCCTCTCCCCGGAGCCCTGACTCACTCATCCCTACCGGGCTTCCCTGACCTGGCACAGATTCCTGCCCTTCCAGTGTGTAGCCTTGCGGGTAGGGAGGGATGAGGCAGTGGAAGGTGGAGGGGCTGCCCAGAGGCTCCACTCACCTGTCCATTTCAGGCATCAACATTTATGAGCCAGCACCCCCTACTGGTCCCACCCAGCGACCCCTGGAGACTCTGGGTAAGTGCTTGGAGGGCTGGGTTGCTGAAGGTGGGGAGGGTCCTCCAGTGTTGGGGTGTTCTAACCCTTTGCTCCCCAACCTGCAGGCAATTTCCGTGGTTGGTACATTAGAACCGAAAAGCTTCAGCAGAACCAAAGGTGAGTCGCCGGGGCTGGTGTGGCCTACACTCCATTCCCTGCGCCACCCTTCCTGGCTGTAAGAACTGGAGAAACTGACTTGGCCTCTCTAGACCTCCATTTCCCACTCTGTAAACAGGGTTAGCATAAGAGAGAATGCCTGTAAAACACACAGCCTAGGGCCCGGCCAGGTCTGGCTAGCACCAGTCAATAGCAGCTATTATTGGTTTTTGGTTTTTGTTTTTAAGACGAAGTCTCACTCTGTTGCCCAGACTGGTGTGCAGTGGCGCAATCTCAGCTCACTGCAACCTCTGCCTCCCAGGTTCAAGCAATTCTCCTGCCTCAGCCTCCTGAGTAGCTAGGATTACAGATGTGCACCACCATGCCCGGCTCATTTTGTATTTTTAGTAGAGACGGCGTTTCACCATGTTGGCCAGGTTGGTCTCGAACTCCTGACCTCAAGTGATCTACCTGCCTCAGCGTCCCAAAGTGCTCGGATTACAGGCGTAAGCCACCGCGCCTGGCTATTCTTGTTGTTGTTGTAATTATTCTAAGGCTCTTTCCCTGGGAGGGGAAGAGTCACCCCAGGCCACCCCCTGTCCTCCATGAAACAGAGCCTTGCTCCTGCGCAGTAGATGAGCTGGTGTGATTCGGAGGCTCAGGGTCACACAGGCCAGGGTTGGGATCCTGGCTCTGCCACATGTTTGCTGCTTGACCTCAGACACCTCTCCATCCTCAGCCTCAGGTTCCTCGTCTGTAGCATGGGGTCCAGGATGCATTGCCCTCAGAGGGGCCCATGGGGACTGAGACTGGAAGGTGCTGAGGGAGCACCCCAAATGTGGGGACCCAAGCTACCCCTAAGAAAGCGCTAAGACACGGCTTCCTGCTCCCTGGAGCCAGGCGGACCGGGGAGATCCCCAAGGATCCTGGCAGATCGCAGACCCCGCCTCTCCCGGCCCTTGTTTCACAGCTGGACAGTGAAGCAGCAGTGTGTGGACCTTCTGGCCGAGGGCCTGTGGGAGGAGCTGCTGGATGACGAACAACCAGACATTACGGTCATGGACTGGTGCGTGCCCCTGCCCTGCCAGCCTGACCCCGTGATCACACAGGGCTGCCCAGAGCACGAGCCTTACGCTGAGCTCCCCTTGCTCTCAGCCCCTCACCAAGACCCTCCTGGTGCTGCAGGGTTCTGCCCTGCCCACCTCCCTGGCCCCTTCTGTTTGAGTCTTTCCGATTTTGAAAGGAAAAATCGGCTGACCCTTATTTCTTTTCTTTTTTTTTTTTTTTTTTGAGAGTCTCACTCTGTCGCCCATGCTGAACTGCAGTGGGGCCATCTCGGCTGACTGCTACTCTGCCTCTCAGGTTTAAGTGATTCTCCTGCCTCAGCTTCCCAAGTAACTGGGACCACAGGCACGTGCCACCACACCCGGCTAATTTCTGTATTTTTAGTGGAGACATGGTTTCACCATGTTGCCCAGGCTGGTCTCGAACTCCTGACCTCAAGTGATCTGCCCGCCTCAGCCTCCCAAAGTGCTGGGATTATAGGCATGAGCCACCATGCCCGGCCTATTCTTTATTTCTTAAAAGCCTGTCACCCTCTATTCTCAAGACAAATTCCGTCTCATTCCTTGGGAGTCACTTACACATGGCTCCACCAGGAAGCCTTCCCTGATCACCCCTCAGCTGGGTCAGGTGCATTTGCTCCAGTGCCCTGGGCCCCCCCATCCCGGTCCCAACCTCTCTGTGCCCCCAATTCCGGCCCCAACCCCTCTGCCTGGGTCCCCGATTCTGGCCCCAACCCCTCTGCCTGGGTCCCCCCATCCTGGCCCTGACCCCTCTGCCCGTGCTCCCCATCCCAACCCTGGCCGTTCCTGGCTGTCATGTTTGGTGGCATGCCAGCCTCCCTCACTGGACTGTGAATCCCGTGTGGACGGGGCATGGGGCTGTCTTGGTCACTGCTATGCTGCCAGCACCACCCAGCTCAGGGCTGTGCACAGCGTGGGTAGCAGCATGTGTGTGGAACGGGGAACGGGGAACGGGGAACGGGTCCAGGGGCTGGGGCTGGGTAGCTGAGACTGCAGTGGCAGCTGAAGGCCTTGACCCCGCCTGCAGGTTTGAGGACAGCCGGCTGGATGCGTGCGTCTACGAACTGCACGTCTGGCTCCTGGCAGCCGACCGCCGATCCGTCATCGCTCAGCACCACGTGGCCCCCCGAACTTCTGGGAGAGGACCCCCTGGCCGCTGGGTCCAGGTGAGACTCTCAGCCCTGGGGCCCTAAACCCCAGACGTGTGTTCTTATCCCAAGACCTCACAGAGGGAGGAGAGCAGGTCCACGGGTCCTCGAAAAGGGCTCCTCCCTAACCCCAGGTGCTGTCACCACAGGTGTCCCACGTATTCCGCCATTATGGTCCTGGTGTGCGCTTCATCCACTTCCTGCACAAGGTCAAGAACCGCATGGAGCCTGGTGGGCTGCGGCGGACACGTGTGACTGACTCCTCCGTGTCTGTGCAGCTCCGGGAGTGACTGGCTGGCTCCTCTGTCCTGACCCCACAGCATCTCCCTGAGCTTTAGAAGCCCCTAACTCTTAGCCACCTCTTAGGCCCCTTATTCCTCCCCGGCCCTTGGCTTCTCTCTTGATGGACAGCTTCCACACCCTTAAGCGGTGGACTCCAGCATTTTCCCGGCACTCTCTGAGCCCCGTGAGGGCGGAGCCACTCCTTGTAAATTCAGTGCCTGACAGATGCTCTGGCACAGATGCTACGTAGATCTCTGTTGAGTGAATGCATAGACACCTGTGCTCAAGGATGCTGAGGGCTGGTCTCTGCTTCTTTGAACTTCACTGAAACTGAATGCTCACTGCTGTGTTGCCAGCACCACCCAGCCCAGGGCTGTGAGCAGAGTGGCAGTGAATGTCTGTTGAAGGGGGAATGGAGCCATTCATTTCACTCAGTTCCTGTCCCATTTAACCGCCCCTGATCCTTGATCTTCCATTACCTTCACACCCTGGGGTCCTTCTGAACTGACCTTGACCTCTGATCTCTTCACATATCTCCCCTTAGCATCTCTACTTACCTACTCTCTCTTTTTTTTTTTTGAGATGGAGTCTCACTCTGTCGCCCAGGCTGAAGTGCAGTGACACAATCTTGGCTCACTGCAATTTCCACCTCCCGGGTTCAAGTGATTCTCCTGCCTCAGCCTCTCAAGTAGGGATTACAGGTGCCCACCACCACGCCCACTAATTTTTGTATTTTTAGTAGAGACGGGGTTTCATCATGTTGGCCAGGCTGGTCTCAAACTCCTGACCTCAAGTGATCCACCCACCTTGGCCTTCCAAAGTGCTGGGATTGCAGACGTGAGTCACTGCGCCTGGCCATTCCATATCTCTTAAGTCTCCGAATTTCCTCTAGCTCCCTCCAGGTGTCTGCAGTTGTCGTCCCCTCAAAGCTGTCCCACACTCTCCTCCGAAGACCCTTTGTGTATCTTCTCCAGCTACCGCAGACCCCCCAAACCCAGGCATCCATCAAAGTCCCTCATTCATGAGGGTGTGGGGACACAGACTGTGACCAGAACAGAAATATGAAAATGTGAATGACAGTGTCCCCCGTGTGTGGAATGTGGGGATTAAAAGCATTTACCAACCACTAAGTCCTGATCTGATCACTTGCAGATCCCAGCCCTAGCCCAGGGCTGGGTCCTAGAAGGCCCGCACCCTGCTGTCCCCTGCAGGAACCATGGAGGGAGTCCGGAGGCCCCTGGGAGGCCAGAAATGGCTCAAGGAGGAGTTTTTTGCTTGTGTGTTTGCTCTGAGACAGAGTCTCGCTCTGTTGCCCAGGCTGGAGCACAGTGGCACGATCTGGGCTCACTGCAACCTCTACCTCCCAGGTTCAAGTGATTTCCGGCTAATGCTTGTATTTTCAGTAGAGATGGGGTTTCACCATGTTTGCCAGGCTGGCCTCCAACTCTTGAGCTCAGGTGATCCGCCCACCTCAGCCTCCCAAAGTGCTAGGATTACAGGCCTGAGCCACCACACCAGGCTAAAGAAGGATTATTTACTGAAAAGGCTGGGGCATATTTCATATTTAACAGTCAGCCCAAGGTTCCCCTGTAGTTCACTCACATGTCCTTCTGTGGTGCGTGTCTTTGTGCACACGTAAAACCATGTCCAAGTCGATGGCGTGTCCTCATCCATGGCATTGTCCTGTGTATGGGCTGACCCAGGCCCAACCACCCTGCTCTCTCCTCCATCCCACCCGGTCCAGTGAGGATTTGCATCCCAGGGACAAGCGGATGACAGACGGGGACCAGTGCACAAAGGCTGTATTGCAGGGGAGGTGGGAGGGGCGGGCAGAACGCTCCTTCTCCTGGGTCTTGGGGCCCCGCAGCAGAGCCCAGGAATGGGCTGAGTGAGGGGTCTGGCACTCTGTGGAAGCTGCAGATGAGAGACCAGCAAAGCATCAGCTGCACCTGAAATGTAATCAAGAATTGCTTCCAGGGGCTCTCAGAGACCGAGGGTCTGTGAGTTCTAGAAGCCTGAGGTTGGGTGGGGACTGGGGAGTCTGGGCCTGAGGCTCCAAGTTCAGGAACCAGGGATCCTAGCTTGCGAGTTTGGAGTTGGGGCTCCTTGGAGCCCTTGGGGGACGGGAGTGACTTGGGAGGGCTTGGGGGGTTGGGAGGGTGTCACCGCTGGATCTAGGTCCCAGGTCTGTGAGTGCAAGGTGGCCTCAGGGACCTCCAGGGATGGGTCTTAGGGGTGGGCTGTGGGACTGGTTTTAGGGCTGAGGCTGGTCTAGAGGGTCTAGGGGAGGTGAGAGCAGGAAGGCTACACACTGGGGGTTCTTATAATTGAGTCTGAGGTCTTGAGGTCTGGGTTAGTTTTGGAGTCTGGGAATTTTGAGATGTGATTATCTGAGGCATGGGGGCTGGCTTTGGTTCTGGGGACCAAGGTGAGGGGGTCTAGGAGTTCTCAGTCCCCAGAATTAGCCAGCCCTCCCTGGGAAGAACAGCTGTGGGCGGGTGGGTAGGTGGAGGATTCCAGAAGATGGAGGGTTGGCTCTGAATCCCAGAGCTGGGGCGAGATCTCCGTCCCAGGGTCCTGGGCTGCAGGTGGAGTGGGGACCGGGTGCTGGGGGTGAAGAGAAGGAGGACCTGGTCTGGGTAAGGACTCTGAGATGGGGCCTCCACGACTGGTTTTAGGGAGGCCTGGTGCTCCCAGTTCCAGTCGGGAGCTCAGGGGTGTGGAGCAGCCTCGGGGCTTGGATGATGGGTGTGGGGGTTTGTGCGGAGCTGGGGCCGGGGCCTGGGGTGGGCTCGGAGCTTTGGGCAGCTGGGCACCTGCAGTAGAGCGCGGAGATAGCGTTGGACCAGTTTCCCAAGATGCCCCGGCGGTACTCCTCCAGGCGCGGGTAGGTGCCGGCAGAGAATTTGTGCGTCTTGCCCGCCTTGCCTTGCCGGGACCACACGATGAGCTCGCAGCGCGGGGCCACCACAAGCGAGGAGGCGGTGTTGGCCCAGTTGGAGGGCAAGTAGGGCAGGTCTGCGCCCGGCTCCAGCGACAGCTCGGCGCCCCTGCAGCAGTTCTCATAGTAGGGGTCGCTCTTGTCGTAGAGCTTGGCGCAAGTGCGCGTCCCGTCCGAGTGCTTGAGGTCGGCGGACGCGGGGCAGGCGCCCTGGGCGCACGGCACGGCGGCCAGGGCCAGGGCCAGGGCCAGCAGCAGCGGGCGCAGTGAGGACGTGGTGGCAGTGCCCCGCCGCGGCCCAGCGCGCTTTTATGCGCCCGACCCGTGGGAAGGGACAAGCTGCCAGATAAGGTCTCATGGAGGGAAGGGGGGGCGCCCCTCCCCCAGGAGCCGGGAGACCTGCCTAACCTAGGTCGGAAACCCACAACCCTGGGTACAAGGTGGACGCTGTGTATACAACTTAGCACCTTAAGATGTTAGGTGACCAGCAACATTATAGAGACAAGAGACAGGACTTGAGGAGGAGTCATTTGCAACACAGAGGGTGGCATAGGTTAATAGACAGAAATGGGAAGAACTTTTAAAAATTGACAAGGGGCTTGCTGGTGACTCACGCCTGTAATCCCAGCACTTTGGGAGGCCTAGACGGGTGGATCGCTTGAGCCCAGGAGTTTGAGACCAGTCTGGGCAACATAGCAAGATCCCGTCCCTACTAAAAATAAAGTTAGCCCAGCGTGGTGGCCTGGCCTGTAGTCCCAGCTACTCACAAAGCCTAGTCGGGAGGATCGCTTGAGCCCAGGAGTTCGAGGCTGTGGTGAGCTGAGATCGTTTCACTGTACTCCAGCCTGGGCAACAAAGCCAGGAAAAATAAATAAATAAATAAGGAATGGAACAACCCTTATTCTAGATAAGGAAAGACTGGGTTGGGGGAGGCGGGAGTGGGAGGCTGGGGCCTCCTGGCTGGGCAGGCTCCCTCCCTGGGAGGCAGGACCTTGGGAAAGGAGAAGCTGGAGATAAGGATAGAGGCCCTTGTGGGGTGCGGGCAGGTAGAGAAGGAGATGAGGAGCCCCACGCCCCACCCCCACCAGGCTCAGACCGGGCAATCTTCCCAACCAAGGCTGGCAATCCCGAATCTGTGAAGTACAAGATAGCAGTATTTGCATAACACGTTAAAAACCTTTTGCAAGACAGCGTACAAAGGCTTGAGGAGATATTTGCAACATTTCAAAAGCATAGCATTACAAGTTATAATATATAAAGAGTGCACACAGGTTGGGCGCGGTGGCTCATGCCTGTAATCACAATACTTTGGGAGACCGAGGCAGGCAGATCATTTGAGGCCAGGAGTTCAAGACCAGCCTGGCCAACATGGTGAAACCCCGTCTGTACTTAAAGTACAACACTTAGGTCACACGCCTGTAGTCTCAGCTACTCGGGAGGCTGAGGGATGAGAATCACTTGAACCCGGGAGGTGGAGGTTGCAGTGAGCCAAGATCGCATAAAAAAAGAATGCCTACAAATTGACAAGAACTGCATCCCTCCCTCCCACACGCTAAGGACAGGCCTAGGAGAGGGATGGGGGGGAAGAGCCTGCCACTCCCACCTCAGGAGCCGGGAGACTTTCTTAACTAAGGTTGGAAATCTTCAATCTATAAAACAAATGGTGAACCTTTTGAGCTGTATAAAACTGTAAAACTGTTGTATAGCAAAAACAAAACAAAACAAAACAAAACCCACAAACCCAGCCAGGGAAAAATAAACTCAATTCTTATGATATAAAATGAGCTGTTACCGATCAGCCAGTAGAAATGAAACAAGGGCCGGGCGCAGTGGCTCACACCTGTAATCCCAGCACTTTGGGAGGCCCAGGTGGGTGGATTACCTGAGGTCAGGAGTTCGAGACCCGCCTGGCCAACATAGTGAAACCCCGTCTCTACTAAAAATACAAAAATTAGCTGGGCGTGGTGGCGCACAGAGCCTCGGGAAGCTGAGGCAGGAGAATTGCTTGAACCGAGGAGGTAGAGGTTGCAGTGAGCCGAGATCGCACCACTGCACTCCAGTCTGGGTGGCAAAGTGACTCTGTCTCAAAAAAAAAAAAAAAAAAAAAAAGGAAGGAGGGAACAAAGAAAAGAAAAGAAAAGAAAAAAGAAGAAAAAGAAACAAGGCAAAGGAAAAATTAGAGCAGCACAGGAAGGAGAGGGAGATTGGAACCCTAGGACTGGACAGGGACCCAGACCTCTGGGAGCCTGGCCAGGGCCCTTCCAAGGTTTTCTGGAGTTCCCAGCCTCTTCCCAAAACAGGGTCAAGAGTGTGAATGCACTGACTAGACAGACACGGGTCCACTGGCTCTGTCAGTACAGGTCTGGGCCTTGGTTTCCTCATCTGTGAAATGGGTAATGTTTCCTCCTACATCATAGGAATGTTGAAAAGGTTGCAGGGGATGGTAGAAGGGATGTGGTTTAGGAGGACAGTCCATGGAGTTAAACTGTCTGGGTCCAAATCCCAGCTCCTCTACGAGCTGTGCACACAAAGGCCTCAGGGACACGCTGATGGTACTTACTTCAGAGTGGTGGTATAAGGAATAAATTAATTGGGCTGGGTGCAGAGGCTCACGCCTGTAATCCCAGCACTTTGGGAGGCCAAGGCGGGAGGATCACTTGAGGTCAGGAGTTTGAGATCAGCCTGGCCAACATGGCAAAATCCCATCTCTACTAAAAATACAAAACTTATCCGGGCGTGGTGGCAGGTGTCTGTAATCCCAGCTACTTGGAAGGCTGAAGCAGAAGAATTGCTTAAACCTGGGAGGCCCAGGCTGCAGTGAGCCGAGATCGTGCCACTGCACTCCAGGCTGGGTGACAGAGTGAGACCCTGCTAAAAGAAAAGAAAGGAATAAATGAATTAATCCATGTAACAACACTTAGAGAAGGGATTGGCCTTCGCTAAGTGCCGTATGAGCATCTGTCATCATCACTACCATCTTTTTTTTTTTTTTTTTAGAGAGTCTCACTCTGTCTCCTAGGTCTGCAGCCTCGACCTCCCCGGCTTAAGCAATCTTCCCACCTCAGCCTCCTGAGTAGGGAACATGCCACCATAGGCACGTGCCACCACACCCTGCTAATTTTTTGATTGTTTTGTAGAGATGGGGTTTCACCATGTTGCGCAGGCTGGTCTCGAACTCTTGGGCTCGCTCAATCCTCCTGCCTCCCATAGTGCTGGGATTACAGGTATGAGCCACTGCACCCGGTACATCATCATTATTATTAAAACCTTTAGCATGGTGCCTGGCACATAGTAAGGACTCAATAAACGTAAACCATCACAACAACATAACACCAACAATTTGCTGTTATCCATGGTCGCTCAGCCAAACCTACACCCTGCTGGTCCTCTGCAGACGCTGTGGCGTCCACCTCGGGCAGGGTAGGGCTGTTATTAAGAGCCAAAGACTGGAAACACTTGGAAGTGGGTTCAGATGTTGACTCTGCCACCTGCTTGCTGAGCAACCTTGGGAAAATGAACTTACCTCTCTGAGCTTCAGTTCCCTCCTACCTTCAATGGGATAATAGAAAATGAGGTCTCACGAGCCAGGCACGATGGCACATGCCAGTAATCCCACTTATTTAGGAGGCCCAGGCAGGAGGATCACTTGAGTCCAGGAGGTCGAGGCTGCATTGAGCTGTGATTGCACCACTGTGCTCCAGCCTAGGCAACAGAGGGAAACTCTGTCTCTAAAAAAATTAAAAAATAAAAAAAAGGTCTCTATAAAGTAATTTACATTATGAACAATCCATATAATTGTTATTTATAAATATAATATAGGCCAGGCACCGTGGTTCATGCCTGTAATCCTGGCACTCTGGGAGGCCGAGGCGGGAGGATCACTTGAGGTCAGGAGTTCGAGACCAGCCTGGCCAACACGGTGAAACCCTGTCTCTACTAAAAAAATACAAAAAGTAGCTGGGTGTGGTGGCACATGCCTATAATCCCAGGTACTCAGGAGGCTGAGGCAGGAGAATCACTTGATCCTGGGAGGCGGAGGTTGTAGTGAGCCAAGATCGTGCCACTGCACTCCAGCCTGGGTGACAGAGTGAGACTCTGTCTCCAAAAAAAAAAAAAAAGAAAAAAAGAAAAGAAAGAGAGAAATATATATATATATGTATATGATGTATGTAATATGAATACTTAATATACAATATTGTATTAACACAATAGTATAAATGAAATACAATAAAGCATGAAGTACTGTGCCCAGCACACAATAGGTACTCAATACATGGAAGCTATTATGACTGTTCTCCTGACAGCTCTGAGACCCTGGCCACTGGCCTGGCCCTGCCCGGGGATCCTTCTTTCTCAGTTCCTTTTGTGATCCCTTGAAATCTAATCTCCAGCTGCTAACTTCCCAGAGAGCCTCCTTGGTCCCAGGAACACAGGACAGCCACCCTCTGGCTCTGTACCACCCCAGACACAGGGATGCAGGGCAGTAGAGTCACTCAGAGTCCCACCCACCCCGGAGGGCCGTGAACTTCAGACACAGAGAGCAACATGGCCAGGGAGACACGGACAGGGAGACAGACGCAGGCACAGGAAGGAACACGGAACCCACTGAGGCATAGTACACAGCCCGCATCCGACGGAGCCCACAGAGACCCAGGGCCTGGGCACAGCATGTTCAACCCCGCCACACACACATGGGCAGGGCGTAGGGACACGCATCACACAGCCAGCCACTGATGGTCCTGGATTCTCACAGTGAATCCTAGGGTGGACACATGCCCAGCTCTGGGGCAACATGCACCCCTGTCCTCCAACAGAACCACACACAGCCATTGTCATGAACAAGCCTCCAGTCTTCCTCCACTCCTGCCCTACACGCTACAAATCTCACACCTGTGACATCTTTTTTTTTTTTTTTTTCTTTTGAGACGAAGTTTCACTCTTTGTTGCCCAGAGTTGGCAGTGCAATGGTGCGATCTCGGCTCCACTGCAACCTCTGCCTCCTGGGTTCTAGCGATTCGCCTCCTCAGCCTTCCAAGTAGCTGGGATTACAGGTGCTCGCCACCATGCCCAGCTAATTTTTTGTATTTTTAATAGAGGACAGGGTTTTGCCATGTTGGTCAGTCTGGTCTCGAACTCCTGACCTCAGGTTGATCGCACCCACCTCGGCTCCCAGAGTGCTGGGATTACAGGAATGAGCCACGCGACCTGGCCTTTTTTTTTTTTTTTTTTTTTTTTTTACAGTGTCAGGGTCTCGATATGTTGACCAGACTGGCCTCAAAATCCTGGCCTCAAGCAATCCTCCCACC